TAAAGCTCTCCTCCAGGACCACATTTCAAATAAATCAACCTTTCTCCTGTAAGTTTTCTTTACTGTCCAATTTCACACCCATAAATACTGACTGGGAATACAAGAGTACGGATGATATTGGTTTCCAGTGACATCCTTACACTTGATGACCTTTTCTAATTCCTTCATTGCTGCCCTTATGAATCTCAGTCTTCTTCTGACTTCTTGGCTGCATTCTCCATTTGGATTGATGACTGAACCAACGTATACAAGATCTTTCACTATTTCAATGTTTTCCTTATCAATGTTAAAGTTGAATAAGTGGGGTCTCGACTTACGAAATTAATCCATATTGGAAGGCGGTCCGCAGGTCGAAAAGTTCACAAGTCGAATCTGCATTTCCCATAGGAATGTGTGTGTGCGTGTGTGTGAAATTGCTGCATAATTGCCCTTGTGTGCATGTTTTTTCCCCCGCACAACACACATGACCAAACTTGCAAGAAGTGCAAGAGCAAATACAAAAAGGGTAGCATGCAGGAACAGGTCAGATGCCCCTCTGCTCTGCATTCCTCCAACAGGATTCTGGCCCGTGTGCATGTATGAATGTTGTTCACTGGCTGGTATGGGATGTCTGTATGTATGTATGACTGCCCACTTTAGACCTGTATTCCACATCATTCCCGCCTTCGGAACCATTGCATCAATCGCAAAGGGGATAAGCCGTAGTAGAAGCAGCAGCAGTGTTCGTTTGAGGCAAAAAGAAAACGAAGGAAAAAAATAAAGACGACAAAAACGTTGTGGCACTTTAAAGACAAACTGCTAGATTTTAATGTGAACTTTATGGACAAGTCCGCTTCTTCAGGCCTACAGGTAGAAGTATGACCCACCCTGGATTTACAAACCCACAGCACCTACTTTGAATTCCGTGCCTTGGAGATTTAAAAGCAATGGCATGCAAAATGACATCTAAGAATGTTAACGCCATACCGTGAAGCCCTCAATTACAGAGTAGTAAGATAATGGTCTGGGTCCTACAGCATCATCCTATCTCCGTACCATTATGGACGGCTTCACAGCAGGGCGTTACATTCACTGCTTTTTTTAAAAAAAAAGAGGAATATTCTTAATACATCACAATCATTATTCTGAACACATAACGAAGCAAGAAAGACCCTGCTGCAACGCACAGAGCGCTCCTTCCAAAGCGAATAACACGCCAGCGTTCAGCAGCTCCCTGTTCGGTGGCGACACGTGATCCCTCTGGCCCTGCTTTCCTATTGGAGATCCTCTCCCTCCGCCCCCTGCGTTGGTTACTAAGTATAGGAGTTGCGCGATCGTTGTTCCGTTGACTCTGCTCTACCCAAGATCCTCTGCGCGCTCTATGTTTGTTAATTCGTTATCTGAATAAACAGAGATTGAAAAATGTGCAGAGTGATTCATCACCTGAACTTCGTATGGAATCTTTTCTCCGGGGAAGCGTGTATGCAACCCACAGCATGGAAATCTGGCAGTGTGACCACCCGGCAGGCAAAAATAGCAGGATTTGTTTCTTCTGAGATATTACTTTTCTTTTTAAAACCTTCTGAGTACGGTTTTTCTGCACAGGGAGCTTCTGTATTCCTGAAAGCAATTAAAGCAGGCTGGTATTTGTTGTCACCTGAGGGTGTTTGGTGCGGTAATTAAACTCTGGTAAATTTGCATTATTATCATAATAAGGGTGATTAATAAATGCTGCCGGTAGAGAAAAGATTTATGCATACTGCGGACTGCCAGAAATATATGTACTGTAGTTATGTAACTTATATACTGCCCAATAGTACAATGTGTACTTGAGTAGTTAACAACCAACACACATGAACTGCAGACAATATAATACCAACAATAAAATATCAATTAACGAGAAAATACAGCCATCATTATCATCATGTGTCATCTAGTCGATTCTGACTTATGGGTGGCCTTTTCCAGGTAGAGAATACTGTACTCAAAAATGGTTTCCCATCCCTTCTTCCCATCCCTTTCTTTTATGAGCAAAGTGGTTGAGAGGGTGGTGGCTGACCAGCTTCAAGCACATCTGGATCAAACGGATGCCCTGGACCCATTTCAGTCGGGCTTCAGGCTGCGCCACGGTACAGAGACGGCATTGGTCGCCCTGTATGATGACTTGTTGAGGGAGGCTGACGGGGGTAAAATATCTTTGTTCGTCCTCCTCGACATCTCGGCGGCCTTCGATACCGTCAACCACGGTATTCTCCTGGGGAGGCTCTCCGAATTGGTTATCGGTGGCTTGGCCTTGGCCTGGTTCCGTTCCTTCTTGGAGGACCGTCCTCAGAGAGTTCAGCTTGGGGAGAGTGTCTCGGCCCCGTGGAGCCTCAAATGTGGGGTTCCACAGGGTTGATTATCTCCCCAATGCTGTTTAACATCTTTATGAGGCCGCTAGGTGGGGTCGGGGTGTGGAACATCGTGTCATCAATATGCTGATGACACTCAGCTCTACATCTCCTTTTCACCATCTGCAGGTGATGCCGTCCTGACCCTCCAGCGCTGCCTGGAGACCGTACTGCAATGGATGCGGGAGAACGGGTTGAGGCTGAACCTGGACAAGACGGAAGTCCTGAGGGTGTGTGGTCCTGTGGCTGGCGGCTTGGGTGACTCCCTCTCCTTTGGGGGGGGGCAACCCTGGCTGCAAAGAGTGTGGTCCGCAGCCTGGGAGTACTCCTGGACCCGACACTCACCATGGAAACGCAGGTGGCATCGGTAGTCTGCACCGCTTTTTTCCATCTTTGGCGGATTGCCCGGCTGCGATCTTACCTAGACACGGGGGAGCTCACTACCTTAGTACATGCGCTCGTAATCTCTAGATTAGACCACTGTAACACGCTCTACGTGGGGCTGCCTTTGAAACTGACGCGGAAACTTCAGGTGGTGCAGAACGCAGCGGCCATACTCCTTACTGGAGTGAGGAAATACCGACATATCTCTCCTACTCTGGCCATGCTGCACTGGCTGCCCATCCGTTTCCGCGTTGACTTCAAAGCGTTAATGCTTACATATAAGGCCCTAAACGGTTTAGGACCTCGATACTTGGCGGAACGCCTACTTGCACCTAGATCTACTCGGATCACCCGCACGAGCCAGGAGGTGAGGCTGAGGAGCCTAACACCGAGGGAGGCCCGAAAGGAAAGGACACGAAATAGGGCCTTCTCGGCAGTGGCTCCTCACCTCTGGAATAACCCTCCGGCGATTCGTGCGGCCCCTACGCTGGGCACTTTCAAAAGTAAATTAAAAACATGGTTATATGTTCAGGCCTTCCCTTCTGTCAATACTTAACTTTTTTTTTCTTTTCTTTCCTTCCTTATCTATTATTATATGTGTTAGATTGATTGTAACACTGTTATGTATTATAAATATCTTTATTGGAAGCTGCCCAGAGTGGTCGACCAGACCAGATGGGCGGGATATCAATCAATCAATCAATCAATCAAATAAATAAATAAATAAATAAATAAGATTGCCAAATGTTGGAAACAACTTGATGGTGTATAAAGACAATAAGAAGAGTGGACTACAGAGTGGCCCTAATTTACTTACTCCAAGAAACACACATACCATGTTTCCCTGAAAATAAGACAGGGTCATATATTAATTTTTGCTCCGAAAACACATTAGGGCTTACAGTATTTTCAGGGGATGTTTTAATTTTTTTTCATGTACAACAATCTATATTTATTCAAATACAGTCATCTCATTGTCTTCTGGTTGCTGCACAATGGTGGAGGGCGGGGTTTCACTTAACTGGGGCTTATTTTGGGAGTAGGGCTTATATTACACGCATCTTGAAAAATCATACTAGGGCTTATTTTCAGGGAAACAGGGTATGTGCTTTATGTTGTCAAGCTGTTTCTGGATGGTGACTCTTAACTGGCTTTTTATTTATTTTTTAATGTATTTAATTTATTTTATTTATATCACGCCTATCTGGTCGGTTATGTTAAATGTTATTTATCCTTTAATTCAGCCGTTCTCTCAATAGAGAGACCCAAAGCAGCTTACAAATGATATTAAAAAAAAAACAGAATAAAAAAGCTACAAATGTTTGCATATATATTTATTGCAAATATAAATCAAACTATTAAAAACATATTATTGAAAGATGCAAAATCAAATCTTTAAAATAATTTAAAAACACGTTAAAAAGATCTTTAAAAAAAAAACAATCCCCCCAACCCCTTAACATCTTTTCCTGAGTAGAGTTAACAGGAAACCTGCCTGAAAAAATGGTCTGCCAGCAGAAAGATGGCAGGGAGGGGAGGTCAGCCTGGTCTGTCTCTCAGGAGAAGACATTTCAGTCTGGGCACATCCCTGGGAAAGGCACCCTTCTCTGTTCTCACCAGGCAAGCTTAAGAGAGGCGGTCAGGCCAGGAAAAAGGCCTCTTTGGAGGATCTTAAACCCCAGAGGCTGGACACAGGTGCCATTAGGCTGGTCTGAGTGTGTATTGATGTAGTTTTTAACCACCACAGCATGGAAGTCCTTCCTGTAGTCTGAGCCGAAGTGGTTTATTATTGCCTTAAGGGTTAGAACCAGCGCTTTGAATGGGGCATACAAAAAACAAACACGTGGTTGTAACGAGGACTGTAGGTTCTGACGGTGATCGGCCCCACACACCCATCTGTACGATATGACGGTTGGACGGGAACGGGAAAGGTAAACTACTAAGTGTAAAAACAAGTTAAAATCATGTTATTGGTGTGCATGAAACAAGATTTGAATGAAAAATTGCTTGGATTCCTCTGATTTTTGAATTCCCCGTTGCTTCACCGACTTCTCGCATTTAAAATAGGCGCCTTTATACAGTATGTGAACCCGGAATTGTCTCCTATGCGATAGTTTCGCCTCTTTCCTTTTCTTTGGTCTGCCGCCGGAGCTTTCTTTTCGCGCAACCCGATCCGCTCCGGGTTACAGTTCACGTGACCGGGACACCAGGGGGCGCCCTCCCCGGCTCTACCCAGTGGCCTTTCAGTAGCAAAGCCAGCCAGTCCTGGCCCGCTTTCCTCCCCTCATTCAAAAAGGGCGGCGACAAAGGCCAATCAAGACGAGGCAGGGCGTCTTTCGTCCGGTGAGTGACGTGCCGCGTAGCCACTGAGGAAGAGCTAGGCCTGGCGAGGTGGGCGTGTGCGGCGGCAGAGTCGGCTGGTGATGGCGGAAAGAGGAGGAGGAGGAGGAGGCGGTGGTGGCGGCGGCTCTACTGGTGGCGGCGGAGCTGGAGGGGGCGAAGGGGACGCTGGGGCAGCAGAGCGCTACAACAATGAGATCAGGTGAGGCGAAACTCTTAACGGCTGCGCTCGGCGCGCGGAGAGGAACGGGCGGGCGAGCGGAAGGAGCCGGGAGCACGAGGCCTTTTGTGAGTGCGCGCGCACAGACGCAGAGAGCACGCGCGCCGTCGCGCTGGAGCCTCAGTGCTTCCTCCCCCACCCCCCT